CAACTCCCAGAATTCCCTGGGGAAGCATGCTGGCTGGGGAATTCTGGGAGTTGAAATCCACCCATCTTACAGTGGCCACGTTTGAAAAACAGTGGTTTAGCAGGATGAAAGAGGAAAAGCAGCGCAAATCCATGACACTGTTTCCCAGTACTCAGCCCAGGGAACAGAATCGGCCGCAGGCTTTGCTGAAGCACTTCTCGATTATTCTGTTCTTCCATTCCAATTCCTTTCTCTCTTCAGGCAAACAAACTGAAAACACGCACCCAGCACAACACTCTCAATCCTGTGTGGAATGAGGCCCTTGTCTACAATGGGATAACTGCAGAGGACATGGCCCGGAAAACGCTGCGGTGAGATAACACCCAACCCTTGCTTAAAATCTCAGGCCGCAGCTGCATTCCTCTCCCGTGCTCTCCTTCCTCAACGCCATTCTCCATTCTTCCTTTCTGTTTCTGCCTCCCAGAATCTCTGTCTGTGATGAGGATAAATTGACCCACAACGAGTTCATTGGAGAGACTCGGGTGCCTTTGAGACGCCTGCGTCCTGGCCAGAAAAGACATTTCAACTTGTGCTTAGAACGGCAGCAACCGGTGAGAGCTAAGTCAAAGAAGGTTGTATAACCTGAGATGACTCTGTGATTATCTGCATTTGATTCATTAGTAAGGATTTTAAGTTTTAGCTACTTCTTTGCCAGTCACCTTGGCTGCCTGTCACCATCCCTGTTAAGAGTCCTGCCCTTCTCTAGAACTTGTGTGAGATTTCCCCTGCACCCTCCCCGCCAACCCAAATCTTCTGCTTTTATCTGCATTTCACAACTGGTTCTTCCTTTTCACCAGTTGGAGTGACTGAATATTCCTAGTGGAAGAATGCAGAGGCGAGAAGAGGCTCACAGACAACAGTCTAGTAGCATATTTATTCCGCAAATGAATAGCTGTGCCTGGTCCAAACTCAGAAAACTGTGGGTGAGAGAGAGGATAAATCAGGATTTTACTCTTTGGGGGGCAAATCTCCTCAACCCTTGCCAATGACTAAAGCAAAGTATGCGAGCCACCCCAAACGTGTACCGTTCCCTCTCATAGCCAGATGTATTGGCCTGCAAAACAACATCCCACCAAATCAGAGTAGGAAATCTGCATTATCGACTCAGTGCCACTCACCGAATTCAGCTTTCCCAGGGCAAATTAATATAGGTTAACTTTTCCACCACCACTGAGAGCCACGTACACAAAATACACATTGATTCTAATGGGCCTGCCATATTTCTTGACCAATTTGTCCCCTTTTCTCTCATTCCTCCCACGGGGCCTTTACACCCCTTGACTTCCTCCGAGTTTGCTGGGGCCCTCGTTTAAAAGTTCGCTAAATTCTCTCCTATCACAACAGCTGGCATCCCCTTCTTCCATGACTGCAGCCCTGCGTGGAATCTCCTGCTATCTGAGAGAGGTGAGAGTTTTTCTCCCATCCTACTCGGCACCAAAGAAAGCACCTGAAATTCCTCAGCAGAAGGTTAGATTGAGATGGACCACCTATTCCCTGCCAATGCTGTAGTCCCATCGGGGGAACTCATCCAATGAGTCACAGGGCTGGACCAGAACCCAAACAGAGCCACACCCTCTAGTTCTTCCCCAATCCCTCTCCCCATTGTGAACTCGCAACAAAACAGCTCATTCTTGCTAGAGATCTGAGCTTGTCACTTGCTCAAGAGTTCCCCCCATGCCCTCCAGTCACCCGAGTACTCACTGTGATGCCCCTGCCCCATTTTCCCCTCCCAAACCCCCTTCTCTAGCAGACCCTTCCCCAACATGAAATTAGGTTGAGGACTGGAGGTGGCTGTCCCTGACAAGGCAAGAGGCTAGTGAGATGTTAGGAAGAGACTGTCTTTGTAGCAGGAGTTGGCAAAAGAAACCCCACTGTTGAGATGAAAAGGACTCATCGCAGGTCCAGCTTTCCAAATCTGATGCCCTCCAGCTGTGGGGGACTACAGCTCCCAGCTAGCACAACTGTTGGCTATGCTGGTTGGAATATTTATTAGATGTGTATCCCACCTGTTTTCATTCAGGAATTCAAGGGGTGTACATAGCATGCCCTTGTCCAGTTCTCCCCCACAATAAATCTTTGGGGTAGCTTGGGATGAGGAGCGACTGGCCCAAAGTCACCCACCGAGCTTCCATGGCTGAGAAGGAGCTAGAACCTGGGCCTCCCTGCTCTTAGTCCAAGAACTTAACCACTATACCACCCTGGCATGTGGTTCAGAGCAGCTGGAGGGCACTTAGTTGGGGAAGGCTGCTCTGGGCTCAAGGAGTTCAAAAGCCCAAGGCTGAATGCAAGGCCTTCTAAACGTTTCACCTGGGTCTCAAAATGTCCAAGGCCTAACTAAGGCCTGGTTCGCATAACCAGCTAAGCCAGGGGTCAGCAATTTTTTCAAGCAGTAGACACCATCTTGTGACCTTGCACAGGCACCGAAATTATTTTTTAAAAATGAAAAGAACCACAATTTAAATTGATTTGTTGGTTGAACTGACATTTTACCATGCTACTCATCTTGGATGTCATGGTGTCTGTGTCTGTGAACCCCTGCGCTAATCCATACAATGGTTTACTTGGTTTGTGAACGCAACTGTTGTGCTTCATAAACCATGGATTGCGACCTAGCATTTTATGGAAATCTAGGCAATTGTGGCTTATTCAACAAGGCATGGTTAAAAAATGATGCGTGAACCCAGTTGCAAAAGTTTGTTTGGGAAGGCCGGTGGGTGGGCATTTGACACAAAAGCATTCAATAGCCTTTCCTTTCCCCTACTGCATAGTTGGAACCCCCAGCTGGCTGGGCCCTGGAAGAAAGGGGTCGCATCCTGCTCGCCCTCACATACATCTCCGAACGTCATGGATTACTGGTGTCTATTCTCCGCTGCGCCCACTTAGCTGCCATGGATGTGTGCGGCTACTCGGACCCTTATGTAAAAACGTGAGAAATGCGCACATACAAAGGGAAAGAGAGGGGTTAAGATCAACCACGCTTAAGGATGGTTGGGGGAGTGGGGAAAAGACCAGAGGTTTGGGGAGGGAAGAAAGAGATGTAACTTAGCCTCCCCCACGTCTGCTCGGATGTGAAAGCCCTAGAGAGGCTCTTTTCTTTAGCCTCCAGTCGATCAAGAGACCATGTGTAATGTTCCTATTTAGGAAAGCTTTTAGAGACTAGCTTTAATAACCCTGGAATTAATGTTCGGAAGATGTCCAATTTGCTGTAGTCATTTCACATTTTCTCTCAGTGCTTTGGATTTATGACATCTTGTTGAGTTTTTTATGGTGGCGCTTTAGCGCTTGCACACGTTGGTTGTTTTCTGGGAAGGAGGATAACTATCTTTACATACAGCTTAATCTCCTATTCTCCCTTTCCCTCTTTTCTCTTTTCCGGCAGCTACCTGAAGCCAGATGAAGAGAAGAAATCGAAGCATAAAACAACCGTGAAAAAGAAAACACTAAACCCGGAGTACAATGAGGTAAATGAAGGAGAGCAAGGGAAGGAACTGTGTGGTTGGGGAGTGAGAGGGGCGAGCATTCCTAACTTTTAATACTTTTCTGCACCATTACAGGACTTTTTCTATGAGATTGAACAGTCAGATCTTGGACACAAATCCTTGGAAATAACCGTTTGGGATTACGACATTGGGAAATCAAATGACTTCATTGGTGAGAAGATGGGAGAAGATCATCTAGTTTCAGGGAATGGTTGTGTAGTCTAGGAGGCACTGGGTGAATTTACATTATGGAACTTAATCTGGATTAAAAGCCAGGGGTCTAATTCCACAAGGACAGCCAGGAGTCTCTCGCACATTCAGAGAGTTCCCAGCAAATTATTCTTCCCAAGATATCAAAGGGGAAGCCATAACACTTATATTGATAGTAAGTAAATAGGAGGGTGGATTTTCTCATGTCACAGAAAAGATGTCTTACTGTGGAGTTCTTGGTGCCCCCTGAACTTGGTTGTTTGCTTGCAAACATTTCATTACCCAACTAGTAACATCACCAGATGATGTTACCTAGTTGGGTAAAACATATCATCTGATGATGTTACCTAGTTGGGTGATGAAACGTCTGCAAGCAAACAACCAAGCTCAGAGGGCACCAAGAACTCCACAGCTCAACCTTGAGCTACAGATATTCCTTTCCATTGGATGTCTTGCTGCCAACAGCAGGGGAGCCCACGGTTAACCCGAGACTGCATTTGCAAGCTCACAAAATGGAGCATTTAAAAAAAGAATACCCGGAATCTCCCAAGAGAACTTGAGGGTGAGATTACCAAACTTCACAGCCTCCTCCATTCTATAAAAACAGCTTTAATGTATTGCATGAGGTGGGGGACGGCGGTGTCCATGAGATCCTGCCTGATGGCGTTACTGCATGACAGGGAAGAAGGCAACTCCATAACCAGCCGCTTGGAAACTGCAAGAACCTCTTGTTTCATTGCAGGTGGGGTGACCCTGGGATTGGGGGCCAGTGGGGAGTGCCGGCAACACTGGCTCTCGTGCCTCCAGACCTCTGACTGCCGCCTGGAACATTGGCACACCCTCACCAACGAGCTCCCAGAATCCTCCACTTTTGGCCCTTGAGGCCCCCGTGACTCCCCGTAGAACTGCACCCTTCGACCTTGCCTGCCTGCCAAAAACCAACTGGAGGGGCCCAGCACCCAGAGGCCCCTCCTTTGCACGAGGACGTTTGCACGTTTCAAAACTACTTGTCGTGGGGGACCATTTATGCTATGCTCTAGGGAGGCACATAGATGGGAGGCGTTCCTCTTCCGGTACATTAAGGCCACGTGGTGGGGGACTGGGGGCAGATGCAGAAGGGTTGGAGGCCCAGGAAGAGGAGGAAGGATCCGACGGGCAACAATTGGAATTGCTATGTGTACCGAGCGAGCATCAAATCAGTGAAGTCAAAAATACTCCCTCTGTCCTCCCAGCCTTTCTCTTCTCCCTGCTCTTCTTTCTCCCCTTGTCAACTAAGAGTTGTTGTGAAACGCTTTTACTTTTATACAAGATCTTTGCTGGCTGCAGAACATATATTTTTTAACCTTTCAAAAGTAACAAACAAGTCAAAAGGATCAAGCAATTTCATTTCAAAGTCCCAAATACTATCTTTTTCTTATTTTCCACACGGGCGCCTTTCCTTGCTCCTTTTAACTTAGAAATGTCAGAAGCAATTAGTATTTCTGAACCATAAGAAAAAATCAGCTTCTGCATGGATTTTCCATATGGCTTAGTTCTTCTAATTAAACTGCTGGGTTCCGAAGCATGCTGGCTTAAGCTATGCATCCCTTTGATTTCTATGTAAAGCAATCCCCCCTGATCCCCTTGCAGAGAGTTTTCCCCATCCACCCTATTGTTTCTAAAACAAAGGGTCAGAGAAAATAATATTGTGCTCTTTATTTGCTTCATGTTTATTTGCTTAACATTCAGTGCTCTGTTTTTTCCTTCACATTGCAACATATTCAAATCTAAAAAGATTCTGGGGCAAACTGACAGTTGGGGAGGGGGGACCAAAAATGTCAAGCCTGAAAGGGTGGCATAGAGCTTCTAGATAGGACACAGATGAATGCAGAATAAAGAACAGCAATTTGGGGAGAAGTATAAATCTACTAACACAATCAAAAATCATACGATCTTTTCTTGCACTCCCATTACGGTGCTGCCTCAGGCTTAACTGGTGATTGATTAGATATTTCCCACTTTTATCTGTACCATGAATCTCCTTCCTATAAATCTACTTTTTGTTTTAGTCTTAGAGCAAATAATTTTCACTTGTCTCTTTTGAATTTCATTGTGTTAGTTTCAGGGTAGTTTTCCATTGAATTTTAATCCTATCATCCAGGAACATTAACTCTCCTTCCCAGTTCTATACCACCTGCCGGATGGATAAGGACTTTTATCTCTTTACCTTTGCCATTAATAAACATGGTTAGAACCAGCAGCATCAAACCTCATGTCTGTGCCGTACAGTACATCTTTTAACAGAGTTTCCTAGCCCTGAATGTACTAAACAGTATGTGTTCACCCACACTGAACAAGTTTGCCAATCCAAACAGGATTGGGGACCAATCACAGAATTCCCAAATGCCATTAAGCTGGTAACCTGGAAAGAAAATATAAGATTAGCCTGGATCGGTCATGAATAAACTTGACACGCTCGTTTCAATGTGCCACTGCATCATTATCCGGAGGCATGCAGCATCTTTTATACTCTGTTTTAGGGCGTTCTTGATATTCCCCAGGCAGACTGGTCTCGTTTTCCTTTTCTTTTCACCAATCCATCCATACACCTTAAAGGGCAACTCTTCCAGCCCCAAATGTGCGAGCTCACAGAATTAAGCTAGGAATGTTCTAATCTTCAGTATCAGTCTTGAATAGGAATCATGCTGTTTAAAGCAAAGTTTGCTGTAACTTTGCTTCAAAGAAACAAGGATTGGGCAGGTGTTTTTTTAACTGATTAAGTGGCAGGCTTACCATCTCCTTCTCCTTCCCCTAATACAATCTCTACGATTCACTTGTATTTCTGGACAATCTACCGTTCTTGGAGCCTCGTTGCGCTTTCTGTGTGAGTTTTCTCTTCCTAAAATGTTCAGCAACTTCCTAAATGTTATTTTCTGTGCAACTACCTGGTTTTCTAAATATCTGTCACTTTTCTCTCTCCAGAATTGCTTGTAATTGTGCCTTTACACGTTCCTACTTAAGAATGTAAACACGGCTGGACCTTTTGGCCATCATATGTTTACAGAACAGGTTCAGGCCAGCCCTAACCTGAGTTAGGGGAAGAGGTTTGTTGAAATTAGCAAGAGTGATGGGTCTGACACATGCACAGAGCAGATTCTGCCTTCTTCTTAGCCTAACCGAAGAGGTCTGTTGCAGGCAACCAAGCTAGTGATTAAAGGTGGAAATTAACATTAAAGGCAGAAATTACTGTTTAGCTTATTCTTATTTTATCACTATGTGAGAATGAGGATGGGGGAGAAGTAACCATTTGAATTTTCTTCCTGAGGTACCAAAATATCTTGGACCACCTCAGTTAAAAACACTCACTTCCTCTCTGAACAGTATAGCTATTCACCAAGAGACACGCAGTACCCGAGTGACAAATCTGTTTGCTTTGTAAGATGTGAATCAACGCTGAAAGAGAGGTAGTGTCTTCCATCTGTGTTTATACACAATTGTTTTTCAGCCAAGTAAAATGAGCTCTTTTGTTTCTCTTAAAGCTGATCTACCCGTACCTGAAAAATATTCTCTTCTTTCAACTGATAAAAGATCTTTTTTTTTCCTTACAGTTTTTACTACAGGACAGTTTCTTATGTATTCCCACCAGCACTAAAAAATATCTGTAGCAAAAATAATAAAGCACTGCAGTGAGTAGCAACATTTGGAGAAACCATCTTGCAAAATAAACTAAAATGCAGTTACAATACAGGGAATGTTTTTGGCTCGGGTAGAACCGTTGCAAGCATTTTGAAGATTAAACTGCACTTAACCTGGGCAAGGGGAAGGGATAGATGTCAAATGTTTACACATGCAGTGGAAAAACTCCTGGTTATTAATAAGGTTTGTTCTCTCTTCCAACCCTGACTAGGAGATTTCGAGCACTTTTTTTTTTAAAGAGTCCCCTGACTTCTAAGGAACTTTATTTTCTTTTGTTTGCAACAAAAGAGAGCTTTTGCTCTACCTCGTAAACAGATGTACTAGTTCAAGCAGACTTTTCTTTACCAATGTGTAAATGATGGCACATCATACAACAGGGTCAGGAAATGTCTGACCTCATCGGGAGACGTGTTTTTAAAAGCCCAGGGGTTTCAGGAGACAAAAGGAACATAACATGTAGAAATTGCAACTGGATGCTTTTAATACAAAAACAAAATCCCATTTATTGACTGTTTTGCATGTTTTTCCCCCTGAGTCTGTAAACAAAGAAATAATAATAAAATAAAATGATGGGGCACCATCCCCCTCGCACACAACCAAGAGACTTCTGTCCTTTCAAAACGACGCCACCGTCACTCCGGAATGTCGATTACCAGTTCATCATCACCATCCAGGGGGTCTTCGCCACTGCCCTCCCCGGTGTCACTGAACATCTGATGGGGCACTGTGCTGAGGATGGTGGGTGGTGGCAGCTTGGGAGTCCCTCGGGGCGAAGGGAAGGGTAAGCCCACCACGACGGATGAACAGTCCGAGTGGGAGGCTGGGGGCAGGGGAAGCTGCAGGTGGGAAGAAAAAGAAGAAACCTGAGAGGGATGTTGGGTCCCGTGACTTCTTTCTTTCTCCTCCTGCCCATTTTCTTCCATGGTCACACATGCAGGTCTGGCTTTTCACATCATCCTGACCCATAACCATGCTTTGGTTCATTGTACAAATCCAACCACAAGGGTCTGTCAACTGTGGTTTATGGCTTAAACATAGGGTTGAGCCATTAGCATCCCACAAGCCACATGGGGTCCACCACCATGCCCCAGAGCACCCCAAGAATGAGCAGAGCCAACAATTCTCCTACCATTTTTAGACGGCTACAGGTTTAAGAGGTAAATGAGTGCCTGAGGACCACGTGGCCCTGAAATCATCCCCAAGAAGCAGAACGGTTGTGCTCCCACCAATCTGAGTGAGCATGTCACCACTAGCGACGCCCCTATAGCTCCTGGCTGCACATTGAGCATCCTGCCTTATTGTACTCTATGAATCAACTAATACTGGTTTAATTAATATGCCATATTACACAAACTTATCATGGTATGTGAACATAGTCACAAAGATGTAAGGCACGGTGAAATTCCATAAATCAGCAAGGTTCTTTTCTCACAATGTAATGCTGAACTTATTATAAATCCCTCAAACCCACAACAGCTCCATTTTCATCTAGAACGTCTACGGCTGCAGCCAAAAGCATGAGAATCAAAAGCAAGTCTGGATGAGTGAATATCTGCCGTAGGCGTGCAATATTATTCACAAAATGTTTCATAGAAGCCTCAAGCCATGACAGCACAAGGGTTCAAAGTTAATTTGAAGTCTGCAGCACAGATGCATCACTTTTATCATAGCTTATTCATTCAACTAAATCAGTGCAACTTCCATAAGAACAGAAAGTATCTTAATATTTATTTATAAGCTGAAACATACCCTACCCTGCACATTCATTTTGCCCCACCCAAGTATGAATGTGTTTGTGAATTTAATCCAGCACTATATATTCCAAGTTCAACATGTCCCTAAAGCGGGACTGCATATTCTGAAATACAGACAGCCCTCATCTCCATCCACCCACCCACCCCCCCACCTTCCTTGAGGTACCTTGAGCGTGTGGGGCCTTGCCGGCCGCCGGGCAGAGCGAGTAGCGTTGCTGTCAGGCTGGGGGGGAACAGGTTCGGGCCCCAGTGCCAAGTAGTCAGAGGGGAAGGGAACATAAGTGGGTGAATTCAGCTGGGTGGGAAAGGGATGGCGAGAGGGAAGAGATGGAATAAAAAATCAAAATATGAAAGATGAGCAGGTGATTCTTCCCAATTGGGAAGGGTTGAATTAAAACTGTGGTCTGAACACATCTGGAGGACATCAAGCTAGGGAAGGCTTCTTCACACCAGCCCTGCTAGTTCAGAGCAGTGAGTCAATCCAACCTGAACCCCTTCAGATGCTTAACATTCTCATTACATTCAGCCAACAGGGACGCTGGTGGGGGTGATGAGCACTGTAACATTTGGATGGGGCCAGGTGGGAAAAATCTGACGTAACCCAGTTTTCTCTTTCCCCCACAGACCAACTGGATCCTTCCAAGGAATCCACAGTCCTCCCAATCTTCCACAGTAGCCCTGAATCTGGAACCCTATTACTCTTCCATGGCACACAGCCTCTAAAAGGAACAGGCTGATCTATGAAGGAACGGTTTCTTTCAAAGCCATCTACCTTAGCAGCCATCATATATTTTAGCAGAAAATACCATAATACATGAATTACAGAAAAAGGACTATCTGATCTATCCTGAATCTATTGACACTTGTACTAGGCAAGGAAACCACCCCCCTCCTAGGAAAAAATGTAGTCCCTCAGAACCATGTATAATTTGATAAACCTCAAATCTGGCTCCTTAATTATTTTTCCCTCTACAGTACAATGCCTAAAATGGAAACCCTTCCCAGTGCTTTGACTGCTAGATCCCTTTGGCTGCCCCTTTTCAACCATTTATGGAAATAGTTCTGCAGTCATCTTTTCTTCTGAGACGTTAGGCATCCACAAATATATCTCGCAAGCCAGATTAATACCAGCATCTTGGTCAGACTCTAATTGTCTACATGCGCACATCCAATTTATACTACATGGGCCACCCATGGCTTCCAGAGCCCATGCCAAGTTGATGAAGAAGAAAATCTTTATCTCAGTCAATGACCAATACATAATAAAATTCAGTAATGTAAAACAGGCTACATGAATATGGGTAAGTGCAGATCATAAAATTAACTGGATGTATCGGTCAGTTAGCTGAGCATTTTACATATGACATAACAAAACTTAGCTACACTTAACCTAACAGAATTACATGGATCTGAAAGTAAAAAATGTAAATAGAACCAGTCAGAATGACCAGGAATTTTTTTGAGATGTGGGGTTATCAATTCTGAACACGTGCCAGCATAAAATAGGCAATATAAGACATATTTTATGGCTTCAAAAACCCCTTTGCCGCATGGGCAAACCTTCAATCCAAAAGGGATGTCCTTGTATTTCTCTTTTGACCACTTAGGGAGAATGCCCTTCTACATTTAAGGATTGTGATTTGGTTAAGGAAAGTGAAGGAGCTAATCAGAAATGGAAGAGATGCCAGGCCTAACTGAATATCAACCTCCTAAATCATTGCTTCAAAGCTGCTATAAGTAGTCCTCACTTAATGACCACAATAGGGACTGGAAATTGGTTGTTAAGCAGGATGGTTGTTAAGCAAGTCACACGACCAGACTACACCAAACATTGGTGTAAAAGAATTATTGCAGTGCTGCAACACATCTTGGGGCTTTTTGTGTTTGTCTTCCACATAAGGCTGTGTCATGAAAGACTATGCATAGATAATTTAAAGGATTTTACCTGCTCAATGGAATTATTATTTAGCATCCAAATTGCCTTTTCGGCAAAGACCACCTTCTTGGTCTTGTGTCATTCATTTCCAAAGCACCTGAGGCACAGTAATTGGCCAGAGCTCACACAGCCTTACTTAGCCAATCAGGAACTGGGAAAGTAAATGTCCACTAGAAGCGACATCAGTTTCTCTACTAATTTCAGGAAGGTGAAAGGAGAGGTCATTCATCACAGCAACCAGGGCACTGCTGAGTCTTTCTCCCACATGCTATCACCGCAATTGTGCTGGAGATGAGGGGACACAAAGGGCAATCCCAAAGTGCAGTCCACCCCTCAAACATCTGTTAGAAATTCATTTTATTTGGGGAAAACAGCATATGAGAAAAATCATCACTATGTCATTCCCCCCATTTAAGCTAGCTGTCTCCCTGCAGCCATCCAGATGATCTGGGACAGCAGAAACATGAAATGGTGCAAAATTTAAATCTTCCAAAGATTGGGGTGGGGGAACCATGTAGGCAGAAACAAGTTACAGTTCTTCATTTAGGTATCATTTTTTTAAAAAAGCAGTTTATATCCCAACATATTGGAATCATATGCTGTGTTCTTCTAGGCATCCAATTACCACTGACTAAGATAGATGGAGCCCTAATTTTTATGCCTATATTCAGTGCTAAGCACTTGGAAATAATGAGGTGAAATGGAAGCGACATGGAAATCAAGCTAAAGAGGAGAAGATGGGATGAAGCCAAAGCCTTGTGACATAAATATCAGCTGGGTTAGCAGGACAGGTGGAACTAGATCAGTTAAAGTCCCAGCACCCACAGTTGTAAAACATGCTAAGCTTGTATAGGTTTAATCTTGGTTTTGGGAAGTGAGCTTCTGGCTTAGAGTGTTATGTGTGAACCCAACCCATCTGGTGCTTTTCCAGTTCAATGATTTGTGCAAATCAAAACATACATTAATTAAATAACTAAGTGAAGCACACTGGGCAAACCCAGGCATTCAGTAAATCTGCTCTTGAGATTAGGGCCCCCATTTGGGGAATATTTTATGGAGCAGAACTACCAGCTGTGTAGTGTTGGGGTTTGGGGAGTTAGCAACGGTCAGCAGTCCCACTCAAATACCAACACAACCATGCTGAGCATTGGACAAAAGAAAAACCTTTATTCCAAATTTGGTCTAGGAAAACTGAGGAAAGTCATCAACAACGGCTGAGAATTCTCCTTGCCATCTGATTCCTGGCTGCGCTGTCTTATTCCCAAGGTAATCTGGTTAAACGTTTGCCTAAACTCACTGAAAATCAAGCTTTTCTGAATTAGTTCCTAGGGATAGATTACAGCTTGCATCATCCCAAACCAGCAGAGCCAAATGCTGTGTTGGTCTGAAGCAAGGAGAGATCTGACCCAACACCCCTGAAGGAAACCAGGCTGGGGAATGGTCAGTCTCTGCAAAGTCTTTTCCCAGCTTCAGGGTCTGCTTTGGATCTACTCTGCCCTGTGACCCAGAGGGAGACAGAATTACTCACAGAGGCTAAGTAGGGGGATGATGTCCCTGAAGCTGGAAGCCCAAAACCAGATGTTGGCTGGAGAGAAAGACCTGAGGACGATGGTGAGGAGGCACTGCCAAGCTGGGGGCTTTGTTTTCTGCGAGCAGAAAGAGATGTCATGGATGAAAAATTGTCAAAATGTGCTCCATGGAAACAGCATATCCTTGATACATGGGAACTACCCCTCATGCTAAAATCATTCTGAGGTATTGTTACAATAAGGTACAACAGGCAAAGAAGGCCCCTTGACTTCCAGAATAGATCAACTCATGACTGTGTTAAGCCATACACCTAGTATGGGGAATCTGTAGCCCAGTGTTTTTCAAACTTTGCCAAGCCGCCACAAGGTCTGTATGGACTAGTTTAACCAGCAACTAACACAGAGCACCCCAGCTGTGTG